AGTTGATTCAGTGGATGATATAGCTTGGTTCGCTAGTAGGTCAACTTCTTCGTTGCCTTTGATACCAGTATGTGACGGGACCCACATAAACTCTATAATATTTTTTGAGTTAGTTATAATATTGATTATTTGTTGAGAGATTTCATTGGACGGATTAGGAGATAGTAAGGAAGTTAAGGCACTGAGAGAGTCGCTTATGATAAGAGCTTTTTTTATGTGGATGGATACAACGTAGATAGTTGCTTCTTTGATGGCGGTTATTTCTGCTGTGAAGATGCTGGCTTCAGTAGGTAGTTTGTATAGTTTTTTAACGGATCCAGAAATGAATGCACAGCCTGTGCCTGTTATATTTTTTGATGCATCTGTGTAGATAAGGTTGAAGTCATGGAAATCTGAGTTTATGATGTCGTTGAAATTTGAGGTAATAATGGAATGAGGGTTGGAGTTTTTGTTGAAATTTGATAATTGAGTGTGAACTTGAGTGGAATATAGCCAGAATGGAGTTGTTAGAAACGGAGATGACACTTCGATGTTGACTGTTGAGATGGAAGTTGGATTCCTTGCATATACGTGTGTAAGTTTCCATAATTGTAGCTGGTTCTTTGAGCGTGTAGATTTGGGTAGGTGACTTGAATAATTTATATATTGTTTGGTTGGGGAAACTAAGTTTTTTAGTATATTTTTATCTCTTCTGATTTGTAGTGGGGGTTCACCTGAAATGCATAGGTAATTATTGTTTTTGAAAGTCATTAGTTTTTTTATTTTATTGAAAACCTAAAGTAATTACAAATGTACAGTATAGGACTTACACATTCATTAAACATAAATAAAAAAAAATTTTGGATAAAATAATTGACATAGGTGATAGAGAATTTAGGCCCTAATTGTTAGATACTTGATATGCCTACTTAATTCTCATGATTTTGATGTTCAGTAGAAGGGAATATCTTGTTAAATCAAGATTTTTTTAATTACTTATACTGATTTTTGTTGTGCCTAATTTATGTGCGTTCCTAGCTATTTAGGTGACTATAGTCATTTGGCCCCCATGATCAAAAAAATAATGATTTGATACAGAAATTTTATCGAAACAAAAAAAATAAAAAAATATGTATTATTTTATAGAAGCTGCACGACTTAGTTTTATTATGTTGCCAAAATATTAATAAATGATTACCTGATGGTGAAACATATATTTTCTTATGAAGAAATGTTGATATTCATGGTTATCTACATTAGGAATAATATTTTTATTTGAACCACAAAATACTATTTTAAAAATATCTTTGCTTTTCAGTCGTTATGACTGATTTATGAGGACCAATAATTTCATCTCATTAGTGTTGACAGAAGTTGAACTCTCTCCCGTAGTTTTTGCATTAAATAATAATGCTACGTTAGAAAATGTATTACATAAATAATTTGGTCCCTATGTTGAATCAATACAATGTCATTATTTTAGTATGTTCGTTATATTTAACATGTTCTCAAATAAAAACATTTCAAACTTTGATGTTTGTTTTAAAAATTACAATTAAATTCAATGTATATTTGATGAAATGTTGTTTTAAAATTGGTCGATCATGTTAATATTGTAGGTCATCTCTGTTAAAAAAAGGCTTGCCTAGTCAGAGATTGGCAAGTAAACTTTCTTGATTTTTAATTTTTAGAAATGTATTAACTGTATGTAATATGTATCTATTTTATTACAGTATGATTAAACAGTTAAATTAAACATTTTCGGAAATCTACTTTGGTAAATGAAAATCTAGCAAAAACTAACTAGTTTTTAACTATGAAAGATTAAATTTTTTTTTTTTTAAATTTTTAACTCCACATTTTGTATCTAATTGATAATCCCTTTTTAATGAGCTATCGAACAACTTTTTAGGTATCATAGTTTAGGATAAAAGTTAAAAATAGAAAATTTGGGACTATTCAAGGGGACGTTTTTACGGATTCAAATTGTATACCGCTTGGGTGTGAAATCGGAATTCTCTCATTAATATTTTATATTAAAGCTAGATTAATTACCTAGCTACTCATTATTACTGAGTTACATTTACATTATTTTCATATTTAACACTAATTCTTGAAGTTTTCAAAACTCAGACTTCTTCATTTAAATTACTATACTTACTTGATTAAAAATCAAGAAAGTAATATCCAATTCAAATATACTAAATCTTATATTTTTCAAACTTTTGTTATGTGTTTATTCCTTGAATTTTTGTTCACCATATGGTTTTAATTCAGTTACAGAATCATTTGTCATATATTGAGAGAGGTAAAAGCAATTACTTAATTAATACTTTCTATCTAGCTAGAGGCCTATGGCCAATTAATAACTCGTAACCAATGTACCATATGTGTGATTTAGACCCTTGGACAGCAATAGTTTAAAATTTCCATATTTAACATAACAAATCTATACTAGTACTATATTCGTTAACCTATTTGCTATAATATTTTAAAACAAAGACGAAACTTGAGAAATTCGATAACAGAGTAGAGCACTTTAGTAGATACAATCTGACATTAGTTACATTTTTACAGTAATGAAACAATACGATAATATACATGAACATTATTTACTGATCAAGTACCTTGTATGGAATACAGTACAATACTAAATAGATTATTTTAAAAAAAAATTTGTAATATAATTATAGTACCAATAAAATTATAAATTATAATATTATAACGTACATTTTTCTTGTCTACAAATAGATTTTATTATATTTTAAATGTCTTATATAGCCTTCGGGTAATATTATCTTGATGTAAACTAAGGTTAGACACTTCCCCTACCAAGTCGACGATCGAGCCCTGTGCTTGGGAACAAACAGCATACAACTTGGCCGCTTGATAATGATTTTATTTTAGACAAAGTATAGGTACATGTTATTTTATATTTGATACACATTTAATGGAGTTATAATATATTAGATCTCAGGCTATAAGCACTTAAAATCAAAACAATTTAAGTCATTATAGGGTATTTAGGCATAATTTTGTTTTTGTTTTGGATGTACTGTTTTATTTTTAGAACTTCATTATTATTTTTACCATTTACCAATTTTCAATATTTAATAATAACTGAAATTCAAGACAATAAACATTTTAAATTGTTACAGTGTAACATTTGGTGTTTAATGTTATTATAACTAATACGTCCAGAAATATGTTGAGATATTAAATAACATTTTCTCAGATGACAAAACAGAATGAGAAAAAAATTATATAATCATTGAGTCATAGCTAAATTTTAAATTTGCACACACATGTTTTATATAACAAAAAAATAAAAAACAAATAATTAAATCTTAAGATTACTTAATATTATTATAACAATACTGTAGGTATGTATTTTATATCAATTACTATCACGAAACAAAAATTAAACTAAAAATTAAAAAATTATAATAAGTTATAGGTAATATTGTAAGTGTTGACAATTAGGTAACTGAAGATATTATGGTGCTGTTTATTTTGAAAAATAATTTAATTATTTGAAACATTCATGCTGGATTGCATAAAAAAATGTATTTATGAAAATTTAACAACCAATCATGATCCATTAAATTATGTTTAAGACCATTAGCTCACCGTTTCGTGATTTAGAATTAAATCCAGTGTTAAGACTTATATAACTTGTTAATAGAGAACAAACAAAAAAAAAAAATTTTCTAAGACATTATATTATATTAATTTAATTAAAGCATACAATTACTATTAATGGAAAACAAAAATTCCATGGTTTAGTAACACACGACAAATATGTACGTGTGACCATACTAAAATATTCCAAAAATGGAATGTAGAAAATCGTTTCCATATAAATACCAAAATGGCTCATTAGAAACATGATAACTTAAAAATTAATTTTTCATAAAATTATTCATTGAAATGCAATCAATATGAAAAAAAAATGTATAAAACAATTATTTAATATCAATACTATATAAATCTTAATTGTGTTGATAATAATTATCTAGTATAGTATTATGGTTATATTTCAGTATGAAAAAAAATTTTTTTTTATTATTTATGTGCAATAAAGATTGTCCTGAAATAAACAACAATTCGAGTTCATTTGATAATATATTTAAAATGGAATAAACATATTTTATTCTTACAATACAAGAAGACCATAGATGAAAACGATCATTATCACATTAAACTTATGATTAATATATTTTTTGGTTTTTGTAAATAGTGACTGGAAATTATCACTGGATCATGATACCGTGTAGCACCTGTACATTTGTTACAAAATTATAACATTGCTCGATAAATATTCTCTTTGTATGAAAAACATTAAGGAATCTATTAAGTATATATTGTTCATTTATTCTTATGATTTTATTTTTTTTAATAGGAACGACGGGTCCCTAATTTAATATATACATTTTTTGCCATGCTAAGAGGTAACACTATAATAGATGTTTAATATTAGATTGAAACAAGAGTTCTCAGGAGTGTTTATTATACATTTTGAGACAAGTTCCTACTTAACCTAACCTTTTTCGTCAGCAACTCCAATTTATGTCTACGGATTCAGATGAAAAATTGTTGTATAAAAAATGATATACATTACTAAGCAGACAATATTAGAATTTTACTTAATGGATAATTCCCATTTTTTACAAAATTATGTTGTTCATTATTCCTATTTGAACACGAAAAGTTGGTAAGTTAATTAATAATATCTAATAAATAACAAATTTGTATTTTTTGTTATCATAAATTATTCTGTATAATACTATTATGTGAATGAGTAAAATAAAATTGGAGTAAATTAACGAAGCAAAATAGATATGTGTGAACAACAGATAAATAGATAATTATAATCAGATTTAAAATTACTTAAACTTAGTAATCATTAAGTTATTTGAAAAAAACTTAATACAAAAGTTGTTCATGCAAATCTGTAAGAAACTTTTGGAATTTTCTCAAAATGTGCATTTCAGGTACACCATTTCTACTAAAACCACATTTCAATCAAAAATTATTCAGCTAAAATATATAGTGTTACATCTTAGCATGATACTGCATAATCTTCAGTTGTCAATTTTTACATAGGAAGACTTAATATACAATTTTAAATACACATTTTAGGCAACATAAAGATAAGTCCGCCTATCTTCTGCTGATCTTGCAAGGTATTCCCTTTCAATTAGTCCTTCGATTCTTTTTTTGATAATAACGGGAGAAGGTAAGAATCTGACTCTGAGTTGTTCAACAACTTCCAATACAAGGGAGTTATGCTAAAAATTGGACAATATTGTTTAAGTTAATATTTCAAGTCAAACAATGATAAAAATTGTATTTCAATAATTACAATCATTTTTTTCCGAGATTTCATAACGCGTACAATAGCAGCTTCAATTTCATGCTTACGGTCCTCATCTACCTTGCTTCTAGTTTCTTTTCTTTCTGGTTCAGTTTCACCTTTAGCTGCAACTGTTTGGATTTTCACTCTAAAATGAACAGATATTTAGTAACATGAATTCAAATAAAAATATATCGTTTACCTATGCAATTTCGAAGTAAATAACTCATTAACACAAAATTCATGAGTTAATTCTATTTCTTTGCATTTAGGAGTCTTCAAAAGTATACGCTGTGAGGGTTTTCCCAATGCTAAAGATTGTAATGCTCTAATTAAATCTTTATCAGGAATATCGGTTTCACTTCGTATGTCCTACAATTTTATTTTAAATATGTTAACATACAAAATAATTTTATAAAAATAAAATATAATTTGAATTAATATTATATAGTATAATTTACTTCAAAAGATAATTTTTCATGAGTATTGAACATTAATAGAATACACATCTGATAAGTCGACACTTGAATTATGTGTTTTCTCACGGTAGATGGATTGAGAGAATTCGCTGAAGAAGATACACTTGTAGATAATTCATTGTCTGATCGTCTTGAACCATAGAATACAGCATTTAAATCAGCTGATCCAAGTTGTGGTTGCAATGTTAGTTGCCGTCCATTATGTTTACCCAGATAAAATCTGTAAAGAAATAATTTTTATAAGTTACTAAAAGTAAATTAGTTTTTAAATAAACATTTAATATTAAAGGTTTCATTCATGTTCAGGTGTGTCTAATGTGAAACTATTACTCAATGCTTTCTAATCTTACCGCCTCACCTCATATTGTAAAATACTCATTTATTTACTTTTGTTACTTGTATAGATTGTAAATTGTCATTAAATAAACAAATTTAAAAAAATAATACTTAAGCCAATATCTTTTTTATCCATTTTTAAAAATTTGTAATCAAACTTTATTTACTGTGATACATTATCTAGTAGAAAATCCTGATAGCATAGAAATGTAGAATTGACAACCTATTTGGTTTGATATAAAGCACAGATGAATAAAAATACTAAATAGCCGACTTTAATATTATTACTGTAGCCAATAAAATGGCTGCAATCCGTATCTAAGAGTTGAATATTTACGAATGGATCTTCACAGGAAAACGTTTTCTGGATCCTTATATAAAATTGCCTACATAGACACTTTTTCTGCAATTATTTTCATTGTGGTATATTTTATTTACTAACCTAACATAGTACAGTGGAATTATTGTTTCTTAGTACCCACATTTAAAGTAAAATAATCTAAAACAGTAATATGATAATAATTAAAAAATTGTAATTTAATACATAAATTCTTAGTAAACAGCACAAGTAAGTCATGACCAAAATGTCCATTCATCTGAAAATCATTCTAATTGTAAAATGTATTACCTATTATGTTTATTATGAATAGTGTATTATTAAATTTTAAATGACGATCATATTATAATATGTATTAAACCATTCTACTTTGAATTGTTGCTAATAAATAATACATAGATAGACAGTCCTAATTAGTATATTATGTGAAGAGGTTAAAATTTGGTACTTATTTACTTTCATTTGTATAATACCATATTATACCATATAGAACCTTGTAGTACCTTTGAAATTGAACACAGATTATAAAACTATAGTATATTAATACTAATTTTTAAATGGCTAAATAATTATTATGAAAACATTTATAAAGTCACGATATACAAGAATAATTGTAGAGTACCAAAATTAATATTTGAAGTCATGCTACATATCATAATATACTTAGTGGCTAGAAATAAGTATCAAATAAAATTGGACTCAGACTTACTGTAAACACAGATGTATAGGTATAAAAAACTAGATAGTGTCAACAAATTATTTACATAACAAAATAAATGTAAATGGTTCAAAGTAATGCATATATTTTCAAAAAAGGCAAAAACGTGAGTAATAATTATAATAAGGAGGTTAAAGTAGCAATTCTAGCTTTTGACCATTTTTTCATGCGGGCTGCTGTATGAGTTTGGAAGAAATTCTAGTCCTTATCGTGATTATATGTCTATTTATTTAATCTTGATATGTAAAAAATAGTATCTCATCACCTACAGTATCAAATTAATTTGTAAACAGTCAAAGTTAAAGTTAAAAATACAAGTTAATATATTAATATTTGATATGTGTATGATCATTATAAATCATAAAATATATTAGGTCTGTTGTAAAAAATACAAAGAGTGACTAATCTTGTTTCAGATGACAGCCTGCTCAAAAGTTAACAAATCAATCAAATCAAATTAATTTAATGTGTTTTGGATAAGAAAAGGCATTAAATTAAATTTAAGTTACCTAGAACAATTTAAATTTAAAAAGTACATTTGTCAGATGAAAATAAAAATAAACTTATATTTAAAAATCTTATTTCAATTATGGACATTATGTATAAAAAGTTAGTTAAACACTAAAACAATATAAAATATTATAATTTAGAAAAATTTAATAATCATACTATACTACAAATATTTACATTTTATTATTAAAAATTAAAAATATAACAATCTTTATAATATATTATGTGTAAAAGGTATAATATTGTCATAGTCGATATTCATTGAATAAAGTATAAATCATTATAATATAGGAAGTATAAATACATACGTTTATGGTAGTTGTAAAATTATAAAATTAAAATTATCTACATTTGTGTTATTCTGAAGAAAAAATACAGTTAGAGTATCTCACAGTAATTATAGCACTCAGCAATAACCCACCAGCACAACTAATTCATTTTATTTCTCAAGTAAGGTATAGGTATTCATATTATAAATATTGTCATTCTTATAGAACACTCACATTCGGTATTCTGCAAAAGCACTCCTAGGAACTAACGGTACATTGCACTTTGATAATGCATGGGTAGGCCAGAACCCTGTGGTTAATACTCTCACCGTAAGATCCACAGCATGTAAAAATGGCTAAAATAAAAAGTTGGTTAGTTGCATACAATATAATATCACAAACAATATAGATAAATTGAGAAATGAATAAAACTAATACAAATATAATATATGTATATCTAAATATTATACAGTAGAAACTCAATAATTTGAAATTCAGTGAACCGAACTGAAAATGTAATTTATGGAGATCTTTGATTTAGCAAGTTTGAATTTTGGAGGGAAAAAATAAAGAATTTGAATAGAAGAGTTGAAAATTGTATTACATATACATTCTTTAATGAACTACATGTTTATTGCTTCATTTACTTTATATTTTATATTTATTGTATTTAATTGAAAAATCAGTAGCTGTAATGATGTAATTTAAAATATTATGCAAATATTTTAGTGCAGTTTTTTTTGTATGTAATATAAGACTAGTAGACTTCATTTTACAATGTTCTAAAACTTAAAAAAAAGAAACCTTGAATTTTTTTTTAATACTTTTTAAAAAATTTGAAAATAGACAATTTATACAATTATTTATTTCTAATATGAAAAAAAAACAATTTTTAAATCGGTTGAATTTTGAATGAAACTTCTATTTCCAAAAATACAGCATAGTATCATTGTAAAATTGTATGGTTTTCACACTTTGATAGCTAATTTGCTAATTCAATAGATTATAAAGAACATTCAACTTGTTGATATTTTATGTAAGATTTTTATTTTATATTGTTCAAAATGTCCACCATTTACTGCTATGCACAAATCCATTATAAAGTCCCATGAACTTTGTAACAAAATTAACATGTCACTGAGAATATTTCACACATTTTTGATTATAGTTTCACAAAATTTTTGCATACACACTGATGGATAAATAATATTTTTAAACAGCCCCACAAAAAAAAATTCTCTCTTATGGAGTTAAGTCTGGAGATCGAGCTGGCCAATTTATTGATCCTTCTTTGACAATCCATTTACGTGGGATATGATTGTTAAACCTATCTCTAGCCACCCAAGCATAATGAATTGGGATTCATCTTGTATGGTAGATCTACAAAAAAAAAAAATTTAATGAAATAGTTCAACATTATTATATAAATGACTTTGAGTTACAGGCCAAATATGAAAATGTATATTAATACAATAGAACTTTGAACTAACTTGTTCCTCCAATAACTTGGTAAAAGTTTCTCCATTTAAATTACCTTGATAAATAATGGATCAATGATCTTTGTATGCCATATCCACACCACACACTACATTTCATTTTTTTTTAGAATATATTTGATTAAGACCATAATTAACCATGATTAACTGGGATATAATTCGCAGTGTATGGTGGACATAATGAAGAACAATATTATAAAAACAAATATTAAATACAATTTCTATGAGTAGTGATCCCATTCTTTGTCACCGTTTGAATTACCTAGCATTACTGTTACAAACACTTTAAAATTGTACAATAATTTGCTGTATTTTTGGAAATAGTAGTTTTTGTCAATCAATTAAAATTCATCCTAATTCAAAACAGTTTTTTTTTTACATAACAAATCAATAAATCTATAAAACGGCTATTTTCAAATTTTTAAAAAAGTATTTAAGCGAGTTTTTTATCTAAGAATATGTACACGAGTCTTATAGTCATATATTACATTGAAAAAAACTACACTAAAATATCTGCATTAAATTTTGAATAAAAGCTACTGACTTTCCAATAAACCTATATACTATATTTCATTAAAAAAAATAGAAGCAATTTGGGAAGGTTTGTGTACTATTTATATAGCAATGACTATCGAAATTATACATGGTTCATAACCAATGCATTTCAAAACTGCTTGAACAACTTCCTTCTGATACATGATTCGCACATTTTTTATTATTCCCTAGTTTACTGGATGGAGGGTTGAAAGTGGTATTAGGCAGTAAAATAAAGAATAAATGGTGATTATTTAAAATATGTCTTTTAACTTATGCAATATCATATGATATTATTATTATATTTATATTTCTTACATTATTAGACTTAGCGGCATATTCTTTAAATTCTTCCATGATGGTGTTAGATATAGACATATCTTTGAACATACCTTCCAGTTTTGAAGTGAATTGACAGCCACACTCAGTCTACGTAGAAATTAAATAATAATTTGAGGAGAATGTTTTCATCAAATACAATAAAATTTACCTTGAGTTTTGAGATCATATTTTTTTCATTGTCGTTGCTGACAGATTTATTTAAAAGTAATCTCTTGGCTAAATGCTGTTTATAATACCTTTCAAATACATCTTTTTCTTGAAGAAAGCGGAAAATGACCATAGCTTTGTCCAAGACTATTTCTACATCATTTTCAGTTAACTGTAATAATATATTAATAATTTTAATTCATGAATTAAAAATTAAGACAATTTATAAAGAATTATATGCCATCTAATGTTAACTTATAATAACATACAGAAGAATAATAAACACTCAATTTAAATTACTGCACAGATATGAAATTTATCAGTTTATAAAGTGTGCTATGACTTTCAGGATTTATAGACTTCATTTTATTAAATACAAATATATTATTTAGTTATTTTTACTAAAAAAATTCAATCAAGTTATAGTTTAATTTTAATGATAAAATAAAAGTATTAATTATTATGGTATATGATAAACTAAAATAAATATATTTAAACACATTAGTCTTAATTTTTGAGCATGCTCTTGATGACTTGTGCACGCGCTTGCATGTGCTATACAACATAGTTGTTCCGTCCGCCCGCAGCCTGACAAAATGAAATCTATTGTTATCAAGTTAGAATTTCTATGAAATCTTAATTTTATAGACCCCCATTCACACTGATAATCATTTACGACTAATACAAGATTACGATACAATAGGATTAGACATTTTTCCCCTTAAATAATAGCCACTAAGAGCCGCCTTAAAATTTTAAAGATGTATGTTACCATTCTAAAATGTAAAAAAACCAAACAATTTTAATAATAATTAATAGAAATTTTTTTTTCATAACTTAAAATTTTGTAAAATTAATATTTTCATACACAGTTTTGAAATAATGTGTGTTCTATTATAAAAGAATCATACAAACTCTCCAAAATCAGAACCTTTTGATTTGGTTTAAAAGTGAAGTTAGCAGATAAGAATTGTAACACATTTATTTCTAAAAATATAAACTGATAATTAGTAAACAAATATATTTTAATATTATTATTACCCCACGCACACCCTTTTTCAATTTTTCATCCACAAACAAAGATAAATATTCTGGTGACTTGGAATTGATGTTGAAAAAATATTCAAAATCAGCAGCAATCATTTGTTTAAACATCTTATCATTGTTAAAAGAATGAACCAAGAAAAAATTAAATCTATCTTTTAAATCCAGCAAACTCTGAAAAAAAAATATATATAGAAATATTAATTAAACAATTATATAGGGGGGAAATCAAGTACAACAACATTGGCAACATTAAGTCTACATCAGCACTGATAAAGAAATGAAAATATGTCAGTCCCTAATATTATCCTACTATTCTAATGTAATGTATAAAGTTATAGGAATTATGATATAATGACTATACTACCATAATAGTATCATGGCACAATAATACAACTATTATTTTTTCCTTATTGCATATAACATTTATAATTTATCAGTAATCCGACATAGGTAATTTTATAATGTAGGTAATAATTAACCTACACAGTTGATGTAACAATTTTTATTCTATCAGAGTTTAAGTTAGTCAATTAAATTAACTAACCAAAAGTATTTAGTGTTGTAAAAAAAACACAGTACTTATTTAAATTAAAAAAGGTGAAAAAATGGTGACATTGCGCAATTTCTTAATATCCATATGATGCATAAACGTAAAACTTGTTAATAAAATAAATGTTAGTTTATAATATGTTTTCAAAGCTAGTTTCTTTTTATTATGACATATTTTCCTGGTTAATATAAAGTCAATATAACCTATTTCCATTGTACTCTATAGATAAGTTAAGACTTATTGTTGTGATTATAATTTGAGATGTATTAATGCATTAAAATTTTTAATAACCTGAATATAGTTGACTGCATTAGTATTAATATCTTGTTCTTGTACAAGTGATTTTCCCAATTCTCGCAAATACTGGCTAACACTATCAGCCATGGTTTTTAAACCTTCAGAAACACGGGACAATAGCTTGTACATGCATGCTAAATCATCAATTTTGTTGTTCTTCAACATGTATACAACACCAGAATTTTCCATCTTAAAGAAAACCATACAATTATTAAAATAATTTAAGAGATAAACAGATAAGTTAACTAAATTTCTCAGTTTAAAATAATTGAATAGTTACTGGGATATTTACCTCAACAATGGTTTTCATATTTCTTTTAATTAGTTCGATTTCAATAACCTCAACAATTCGACTCTCAGTTGAATCATCTAAGTAATGTTTTGCTCGATCTGATTCTTCCATAATTCTAGATTCAACTTTTCTAATATAAATGCATGCACTATTTTCATCTAAGAACTTTTGACTTTCCATCTGTAAATATGCAATATTTAAGTTTCAGTGTAATTATAAATCAATAAAACTTTAAGTGTATAAATACTTTATAAAATTCAGCAGATTGTTCCAAAAATGGTTTTTCAAAATCTTCTTCATAAACAATACGCCCAGTAATTCCAAGAATCATTAACATTTGACATGCATTTTTAATGGCTATTCGATCAACTACTTCACCTTTTCTTTCAAGTTTTATTAAATTTAATAGTGTCATCCGAAGATGATCACGAATATATCCATAGCGAACAATCTAATAAAATAAATAATAAAGCTAAGTATATAAAAAAATATATTAATCATTTAAAAATATTTTAAACACGTATGTAAATTCATATTTAGTATTGAATATAATACTACAGTAGGTAAGAAAAATTATAATAACATTTAGGTACTAAACTCCATTCACGTTAAGAAGACATTGGCCAGTAACTTGTTGTGCACAGCAGTCATACAGACAGTTGAGACTCAGAAGGGAAGACAACAGGAAGGTGGTCAGGTCACAATATTTGAAGGTCAGATTAAAACCGAGGTACTTTCTTAACGTGAATGAGCCTAGAAAACTACATAGACTATAAGTAATGTGTAATACATTTTTTTTTGACATTTCTTAGTTAGTTAATATCTAATATTTATTTAAATTTGTATAGCTCACTAGATCGCGGAACAAAACGAGACCCAAATTATAAACATTATCAACTTCATTATGCTTAACATAAACTCGGTCCATGTACATCAATATGTCCCGTATCATCACCATTGAAGTTTGATGGTCATTCCAAGCAACATTTAAAACGTGTAAAAAATTATTATTTAATGCCTTTAGAACATCTTCTCTAACCTAAAAATAATAATTTATTTTAAATTTGATTAAACTACTTTTTGTATACAATATGTTTTTTTAAAAATAATTGTACCTTATTCTCTAAATGGTTTATTACAGCTTCCTTCATACCAGTATACAATTTCTCACCATGTTTCAACAATACCATGGTATAAGCATTTCGGTAAAGTTCTTCAAAGCTTAGACCGGAATTGTTTTTCTTTTGAATTTCTTGGATAGCATTTTTCAATAACACCCAAATATTATCAATTAGTTTATCATCCATTGACATCTGAAATAATATTAAACTTAAATATTATTATGTCCAACATTGAATAAATGAAAACCTTTAAAATCAATGTATAATTAACAAATGGCCTAAATAATGTAACAAAAATAAAAAATTACAAAATCCATACAAAAAAAAAACATTCACGAAGATGTACAGCTTTATTCCCCTTACATTAAATAATAATTAACATGATTATAATTATCCATATTCTCATTCTAAATTGGTTCACATGAAAAATCAGGGGGGATTGATTTTACCATCAAATAGTGTGTTTAAAATTATTCAAAAAACTGAATGTTTTTTCTTCTCAATTAAAAATGGACTCTTAAATATCAATTTTCCTAATTTAGATTAAAAAAAATAATTGTTCATGTAAATAATAAATTTGTGTTAGATAAATTAATGTTTAAGGATTTAAATTGTGTAAATGAAGGACTGCTAGACCGATCCCATAAATTGATGTTAATAACATAAATTGCTACAAAAATGTTGAGTTTATTTTTAGGAAGGCAGTTTTTATCTAACGTTTAATGCGTTTAATACCCTATCAGTAAATGACAAAAATTTACAAAGACTATTTTTTTTTATAATTAATAATGATAATTTGCTAGTTAAGTTGTTTATTGTAATATGTTAAGATAGATATAATATATTTGTTAATTTTAATCATTTATGTTGTAGGTAAATTGTTGTGAATTCATTTATCATTAATATTATTGTGTAGGTATATATGTATGGGGTTTGAATAGTTACAGTTAATTTTAATTATAATTTAAAAATATTGATTACAAAAAAATTGTGCAACAGGTATCATATAGGTAAATTTTTTAGTCAAAAACTAGTAAAGTCTACCTTAAGATGGAACTCTGTTGATCGATTTTAAATTACCACGAGTATAGGTACTGTTGACTAATTACTGTGCATAACAGACAATAGTTTAAATATAAAATGCATTGAAATTTAAAAATCAAAACGTATTATGACAAATTATAATTTAATATTAATACTGATAAGGTTTGTTTACCTTTCTAGTACAGTTAAAGATCTGTGGTTGTTATACACAGTTCTTGTTGATTAGTATAAACTCTATACTTTATCGTAAACTATAACCGGATCCAATCATTATGGTTACTAGTGGACTTTTTGTTCAAAGTACCTATACTATGTTTGTTGGGTATAGGGATCTTTTAACTATGTATTGATCATCTATGGTTTCATCATTGTGTGAGAGAAACAAACTACAATTTACCACACCCCAAGACATGGGAAACAAAAACATAAACAATAGTTGGTTTCTCTCTGGTTGATTTGTAAAGACTTAGGTATAAATTAAGATAAAGATTTTCAAATTTAAATTAATATCAGGATTAATATTTATTTCATGTTTGAAATTAATAAATTGTAAATTGTAGTACATAATAATTTTTACTATTTTAATATTTATATTAAGGTTTAGGTTACTAACCAACAGTCAAAAATAAAAATAGGTACCTCTAAAATATTAAATAATAGAATAGGTAGGTATGTTTTAAAAATAAAATATTATATTAATCATAATAAATTATTGTTTAGGAGTTATTGACTTACCATGTACCTAATCAAAAGAGATTAAAAATGGACTGAATTTAAATAGGTACATAATGCAATTTTTAATGTTAAATGATTTATAAATTTTGTATTTGTATTTTTTTTTAATATATATTTCTGATTCATGTCATTCTTTAATCTTTTTAGCAACTTATAAGTCCAATTAAACAAGTTTAGGGTATTTTATGAATTAAACAAATACAGTGTTGTCAATTTGAAGACATAGATATATTTTTATGATGTCTAATGTATATGTATTAGATGTCAATTATGATCTTAACATTGCATAGAAAAATAAAGAATATTGTTAAACTGTCTATGATCAGTCTCTCTCTCAATGTTCATGGAGAATAGTTCATATTCTTATAAATTCTTAAACATCTTAAAAATAAATAAAGAAAAATATCTTAAAGAAAAATAAATTGTATAATATAGGTACTGTATTTATATGACTACTAAGTGTAAATAGTGTTTACGTTTAGTTTATACAAATTAATAGCTAATGGGAACGTTTGAATAATTTAAAACTTAATAACAGTCTATGCAAGAAATCCATAGAAAAAGTTCTTTTGTACCATTTGTTGTATAAGTTAAATCATATAAAATAATACATTTAACTAACTTTACCCATATTTTCGGTGCAAGAAGATATATTATATAATATTATATATTATATTTAAGATATACATCATGATTATTGAAAACTGAAATCTGAATTATTGTGGAGAATTAAAATAAAATAAAATATATATACCTATATATTAGACATATTTTATAGTATTATTATCATTTTTTAATTTGTAATTGGTACTAAGTACGTAAAAACTGTTATGAGTTATACCATATAAATTACTTATTAAAAGTAATTTCCATTACATTTTTGTTGCTTGGAAATAATTCTAATGAAATTACGTCATGTTACTATCCAACACTGCATTACCGGATAGGTACCTATTAATACTTTTTACATCAATAGCTTAGAGAAGAATGTGTTTTAAATAAAATTATTAGAAAATCAAACAGTTATCCAACCTAACCTCGAACCTAACTAACATAAAATTTAAATTCTTAATACATGACATATTATATTTAAAGGAAAGAATATCACCATAATGAAATTGGCTAGCACCTAGATCAGAATACATTTAATTGGAATTTGAGGTTTGTATTTTATTTATAAATTATAATAACTGTAAGTAATTACCTAGCAAAAAGAAAAAAATTAAGTTATGACGGTCGTCATTCATACATTAATTAGTATATTATATAAGTAAAAAGTAAAGTTATAAATTAATGATAATTTTATTTTTATGTTGTTAAAAAATAAAAATAGATAGAGGTGTAATTTGAGTAGGGCAGTCTTATGCATTTACCCAATCTTCACTTCTAAAACCAATTAAAGCAGCTTTTAAGCTACATACATTTAGATTAATTTTCCAAATTTTAACAACACAACTTACTAAGGTATGAAAAATAGCTTAATTCGACCAATTTTTTACTACAGATACCTATGTGTTTTTTTTTTGAAAATAAGTTGGCAAATATTTTTGATTTAATAATTCTGATGTAAAATGTCTATCTAGTTATAAATAAAACGGTAGATTGTTATTGTCTTTGTTAAAATCTTCTTAATCTAGTCAAAACTGTAATCATGCCAACGCATTAAAATAACATTTGGTTTTTTAAACATAAAATATCTAACACCTGATAACAACTACAGGAATTTTTATTGAAACAATTAACTAATAAAGGGACAGTCCGTGCAGCTATATATGTATATATAAATATATAATTCATGTAAAAATATGAAGGTACCTATACACAAATGAATAGCGAGAATCGAGGTGTATGTTCAAAATACATTCAGTTGCAAAGATATAACTATTAGGCAGACGGGTAGATATTATAATGGGACAAACAACAAATGTATATGCGGCATGACACAGTTCTATCCGAGTAACAGAGAAAACTTGACGATAGTTTTGATGGACTCACCGGGAAAGCTTTGATGCGCAAGTTGGTGCGTTTCTTAGGTACGCCGTTCATCATTCTGCGTTTGATGTGGTGGGCATTGAAGTGGAGCAGCGGGAGTCTACAATAAGACTGTTGACGTGGTTTGTCAGGCGGCGGCTGTTGCTGTAGTGCTGAACGAGCTCACACTCATTGCCGGGCGACGGTCATGTCAACGGATGAACGGATGGTAAACTCTGAGACTGCCCTGAGCACGACGGGGGAGGAGTGGCGGACAAAAGCGAAATAGGGGACTTCGTTCACACCTCTCACCGGACTCGCAGTCGGCGATGCCCGAAGACGCACTTCAGCGGCGGCAGCGAGAAGGCGGCGGTCGCGAGACTGGTGTTGTGGCGCAAACGAAAAACACGGAAAGTAAAAACGAAACGATATCGGAACTAGGATGTTAAGGCTCGCTAAGCCGCACGCACGCACACAAACGCAGATTCTCACAAATCGCAATCTCTCTCACACATACACACACACGCGCACACCTGTGATGGTGGAGGTGGAAAATCGACACAGGCGGCTACGTACTGTTAAGCACCAGCACTACTACGAGTGTAGAGTAAATATTTATTGTTATTACGTACTGTAGTAATATCGCCGTGATTCGCGGATGATTAGCAAATACAGGTAATCATAATCTTGTGTCGTCTGTCCGTCTCGAAGCGGCGGCGGTGGTCGGGTTTTGCGCACGGTTCGTCTGCCACTCCACCGTCTAATCCGGCGGAAAACGCTGATCGTCGGTGGTTGTGCGGTCTCGGCGACGAGCGAAGAGTGTTGTAGACTACGGAGTAATAATGATTATTATTTATTGCTATTCATTCCGAGTAGAAACGACGATGACGGTAACGGTGTACAATGTAGATGATAGCGGGTAAACTACAGTCGAGGAGTAGCTTATCAATAACGGGAGAAAAAAAAATTGAAAATCAGAGTCGCAGTCCGCGTTAACGAGTAGAGGAGAAACTAGCACTTAGCAGTACAATTATTGTTCCTATTCCTCTATTGTAATAATATTACTATTATGTTTCTCAGTAGTTCTTCTCACTACCGTCGGCGGCGGTCCCGTTCCAACGATGCGCTTTATTCGTGTATAATAATACTATATAACATAATATTATTATTATTATTATTATTACTATTATTACTATTATCGTTGTTGTCTACGCGTCGACTACGACGACGAACCGCTACTGTGCGTCTGTGAGCGTTAGCGGTGCGCGGTGCGCGTGCGGATCTACCTAGACCGCAGCAGCTGCTCTGCGCGAATTTTCGCGTTGCTGTGCGCGTTATCAGCTGTTATCGAGATGAGATGACGTAACGTTGCGCACCGGCCGCTGCATCGCGGTCGGGCTTACGCGGAGACGAAAATAATACAATATCGGACGTCGGCGAAGTATTTTACTCGATTACTCTGTACCAAGGCTTTAGATACGTGATCGCTACGTCCTCCTATCCGACACATTTAAGGGATTTAGTTTGAAAACCTAGGTGTTCCCACTATAGGTGTTACATCCCCCTACAACAGTAGTCAATTCCCGATAACCACCCACTTTTTAGACTTAAACTTTTGCAGTTCGTCTGCAGCTGTACTTCGCAATAATATTATACATAATATATTTGAATTTGGACTTCTTTTAATACATTGATGAGACGATGAATTGATGGATGTTTGGACGCTCGAACTTTGTCGGGAACCATTTCGAATGTCAATTTCCAGGCACGGGAGCCAATTCGGTTGCAGCCCACCGTACAAACCTTTATTTTACATATTTCAAAAATCCGTTTTTAGTTTACGTCTCACACCTACCTATACACCCCCTACTATCCAAATTTCAGCTAAAAAGTCGACAAAATTCACCAGAGTACCTAATGAAAATTAGCAAAATTATTTTGTTGCTAAACATTTATAAAATGTTAAATTTTTATAGCTAAGGATTGAACATCTAAAAGAAGATTCTTCAAAAATATTTAATGCTGTGAGCAAAACATCTAAAAATTATACCAATTCAATTTTTTTAAATAGATATATTAAGTTCAAATCTAGACGAAATTAGATAAACGGAGAATAATTAATGGCGCAATCAGGACTAAAATATTGGGGGGACTACAGCCACCACTTGATGTTATATTACATGAAAAGTAACCCATAGAGCCCCCCGAGGTGTACTCAAAGTTAAAAATATACAACAAATTATACAAAAAAACAAATATTTATTTACACAAGTTTCATTTTTTACAAAAATAATAATACTTATGCTGTCTATCTATTATAGTTCAGTGCATATACTAGGTATAGACTATAGGTACTTTTATTTTTGTACAATTACATATAAAATCGTACATTTTATACCATTGAATTCCAATTTACCAATTTACCACATACATTACAGTGACCCACACTACAATACTAATGAATAATGATTAATGAACAGTTAAGCGAGCCTACCACTTGTCTATAGACACCACTCGACACCTAAGACCTACTATACAGTTAAGTGGCTTTTTTTAAAGCTGATACTTTATTTTTTTGACAAGTCTTTACTAGTTTTTGAGTTGATGACTATTGAATATAATATTCATAGTGTTATTAAAAAAATACTTGAATTCCGAATACCAATAGCCAATAGGCAATACTCAACATTAACCTGTAGTATCTTCAGTTAGTTTCAAATTCGATGGATAAACCTTATTTTTTTCTTCCCTTTCAATTTCTTATGATAGATACTACTATATTGACTGTTATTTCCTTACTAATAGGAACGAAATCTTACTCGTGGGACGAATTTTTTTTTGTCTTAATGTGATTTGAATTAAAAATAATCCAACTTAACAAATATTCCACTAAATTAGTTTGTGAGTTTGTGACTATCCGTTCGCTGATCACGGTGATTTTTATTATTGTGCTTGACGTCACGGACTCATTTGCCACGGCCATCGGGCCATATAATATAATATACGGAAATATTTATCTGTTTTTGATTTAATGTAAAGTAACTGCTAATGAACTTTATTTTTTTCAAATAACCTAAAGAATTATATTTAAGAGTAAAGTCATATTTACCACTAGGCAGGATAAGCAACTGCCCATGGCCTCCACATTAAAGAGGGCTCAGATTTTTATGAACCTTTATTTTTTATATAATACAGCTCTCATTGCAGTTTGTTTGTGAAAATTTAGAAATAATTTGTAATTGTTGAAATCTTGTGCCTTGATTGTTTTCTTTATCCGTGATGAACTTACTGGTTCGTGTTGAATTCGATGTGAAAGTGAGTGAACGATGACGATCAAAATACTGTACCTAGTTGTTACAGTACGTAGTTACAACATACAACTATAATTTATAGGTAGATAATTCAAATAACATGATTTACGATGCCATTACATTACAAAACATTTAATCACTGTCTGTTTAATTTATTTAATAAAGGTACATTGTACACCATGTACTATTAGACGCCATGCTGTGCATTTCCATGTTGACATGTTATACACACAATAAACACGTTATGTAATATTTTATACAGGTATAATTGACTTTAAAATTCAAATATCAATAAAAACTTACCTGCAGGTGTCTTGAATATTATTTTTAACTTTATGTTTGACAATATTCGTCAGTTAATATTAATAAGCTAACAACACAGAGTTGGTTCTGAGAACTCAAATTTGCAATGCTGACGTTTACTACCAACAAATTATGCACAGTCTTTATTTATAAGTACTGATACTGGTACTTTTATGTATTAACATTTTTTTTTTATCAAACTATAGACAGCTATAGTTAATGGTTAATTATTGTAAGAGATACCGGAAAAAATGTCCTATGACCGTGATATACCTAACTATCTAAGTAACGCTAAACCTTAATGACACGTGGCAATGTCAAAATACGATATTTTTTTAAAATTTTTTTTTGATAATATACAGTATTATACTAATTACCACTAGTATGCTCTATAGAACCTTGTAGACTGTTGACAATACTTTATATTATAAGGAATTGAGCACATTTTAAAAATCACAATAATACAAGGATTATTTTAGTGTAAATTAATATTTAAAGTCATACTACTAATCCTGATACTAGGTACATAGTGAGTATAGTGACTAGAAATAATATCAATTTAAAATAGCAGTAATAATTAAATTCTTAAATATCTAATTAACTGTCTAATAATCCTAACTGGTATTTTTATTTTATATAATATTATAACCTATGTATAATACAATCTTATACATCGACAAACTCACATAATATGGAGCGGCCGTAAGGAGGTCCTTTAGGAGTTGTGGGAAGTATGACACCCCCTAGAATGTCAGTAGCAGTCACAAATTTTTTTTTTTGAACTAGGTAACGATTGTCGTAAATCGTTATAATAAGAATAAAAGAAACAAGTATTACAATTTTGTTATACAACCATTAATAACCATCATCATATATTATTGAGAACCCAATTATATATTAATAAGGTTTTCCGAAAATAACAATTTCTAAAATGTATAGAATATACTGGTGCCTACCTCCCGGTCGGTATACCTAAGTGCTTGTTATCATGTATATTACCATTTACCAATATATGTCTATATATTTATATAACATATTATTCCATAGTCTATTTTATTAGAAAAATTGGGTTCATTTACTTCATCTGTTACAACAGTTACCTACCAGTGAACAAATTTTTAGTAAGCTGAAACATAACTTACTGTCTACAGTGACTTAGCAAATTTTTAAGTTCACAATAATGTCTATAACTATAATAATTTCCAAAATTGGAGTGAAACTACTTTCAATGAAATTATAAGGTAAGATTATTATCTAGGCTTTTTATTATATTATAACTGTAAAGATAGTTGTGAGTATTTTAAGACGTACAAACAATTTACGATTTTAAAATACTCATAATTTATTTAATATTAAAATAAAACTACAAGCGTAGAGATGCCCTAAATTAGGCCCGCGGGCCGAACATGCGGACCTCCAAGCATTTTTCTTTTGGCTCTCTTTAGAAAATATATATTAAATTAT